TGTGTGTGTGTGTGTGTATGTGTGTGATTTCAGAGGGGTACCTTGTTGGGAGGCAACCCCAACTCAACTATCTCTAGCAAAGGCTCCTACCTGGCTCCCTTGCATTTGCTCAGTAAGCCCTCCTGCACAGTCCAGAACAAGCTGGCTAGGACACTGCCCACTGCACAGTCTTCATGAGTGCCTCCTTGCTCTTCAGCCAGAATAAAAACTCTCAAAAGCCTTAAAGGCCCTGCTGGCCTGGCCTGTCTCTCCAGCTTCACCTTGACCTGTGTTTCTGTCACTCTGCTCCAATGCACTGGCCTCCAGGTCTCCTGTTTGCCACGTGGTGCCATGCGGCCTTCTACCACAGGGATGGCACATCTGGAGTGCTCTTCCTCCCCCACTCCCCTGGCTTGTCCTTCACATCTCCTCCTTAGCGGGCACCCCACCTGCGTACTTCTTTCATGTCTCTGATCGCAGCTGTGTTCACCCAAGAGAAGGCATGCAGAGTGCTAGGTACTTCCCCAGTGTGCTCTTTTATGTGACTAATCTGATTACACTCTGGCTCCCACACTAGACTGTAAGCTCCTTGAAGGCAGGGCTCCTATGTTTGTGCTCAATATCAGCTCTCTCAGGTACATAGTAGGCACTCAGTAAATGCTTCCCAAAGGCTAAGTGGCTGAGTGAAAGCCCTAAGTGCTAAGGCAGATGGTTAATCTGTGTGCAGCCTTCCCCAAACGGTGGCATTTCAATAGGTGGGCAATACAGAGGCTCAAAGGTGGGAAGATCCCAAGGGCAGGGGTGGGGCAGGGATGGAGCTAAGCTGGGTGCAAAGGCAGGAAGGATGACAGAGAAAATTTTAAGGCATACCTCGCTTTACTGCGCCTGCCTCCCTGTGCTTTGCAGATACTGCTTTTTTTAGAAATGGAAAGTTTGTGGCAAAACTGCTTCAAGCAAGACTGGTGGTGCCATTTCTCTAATAGCGTGTGCTCACTTGTCTCTGTGTCTTTGGTAACTCCTGCAATACTTCAGACCTTTTCATTATTATTATATCTGTTATGGTGATCTGTCTTTGACATTACTATTATAATTTTTTGGGGGGGTCACACAAATCGTGCCCATATAGCACAGCAAACTTAATAAATGTGTGTCTTCTGACTGCTCCACTGACCAGCTGTTTTCTCATCTCTCTCCCTCTCCTCACGCCTTCCTATTTCCTGAGACACAACAATATAAAAATTAGCCCAATTAATAATGCTACAAACCCTACAATGGCCTCCAAGTGTTCAAGTGAAAGGAAGAGTCACATATCTCTAACTTTAAAATCCAAAGCCAGAAATGATTAATCTTAGTGTGGAAGGCATGTCGGCCTATGACAGGCTGAAAGCTAGGCCTTCTGTACCAGTTAGCTGAGTTGTAAATGCAAAGGAAATGTTCAGCTCCAGTGAACACATGAATGATAAGAAAGCAAAACAACCTTACTGCTGATACAGAGAAAGTTTAGTAGTCTGGATAGAAGGTGAAACCAGCTACAACATTCCATGAAAAGCCCAAACCTAACCTAGACCAAGACCCTAATTGTCTCTCTTCAATTCTATGAGGCTGAGAGAAGTGAGGAAGCTGCAGAAGAGAAGGTCTAGCCTCAGTGCCTGTGGCACAGTGGTTACGGCACCAGCCACATGCACCAAGGCTGGGGGGTTTGAACCCAGCCTGGGCCAGCT